CAATACTGCTTTTGTTGTTTATGTCCTGGTTTTTTGGCCCTGAGGTATATGGGATCTTAGTTCCCCTCACCAGGGATCAAATCCATGCCCCCTGCATTGGAGCGTGAAGTCTTAACCACTGGACCACCAGGGAAATCCCAGAATTGTTTCTTGCAACAATAATTTAGATTGCTTCCCATTTTGTCAGGAATCTGAAACAAGGTTTAAGATGTAATGATGTTGCTTTAAATTTACAATTTTAAAGCCTTGATAATAGCATACATATTATTCCTAATTTGGAAGGGAGAGGGGTAGTTATGTACTATTTTTTTTTTTAAAGGTCAAAGATCAAAAGTTACTAGAGTTTGCTAAGGGCACCAGAAAGAGTCAAAAACATTCTGCTTTGAGCAGCCTGAACCACAAAGGCACTGAGGAACTCAATCACATTAAGAGGATCTTTAATAGAAAGCTTTGAAGTTTTCGCCTGTATCTTAATGATGCAGTGGATGAATGGGCAGCTGCAGTAGATGGTATTTACACGGGAAGTGGGTTCTGTCAGATGTACGACATAAAACAGCAAAGAATTATGGGCACAGCCGGGAGAGGTCATAATAAAGCCACAGAATTTTGATCCTAAAAGATACGAGAAAAGGCAGGTCTAATCTGTTTATACACAGAAGCAAAATCTATGACTCACTTGGTTAAGTGATTTGCCTGAGGTTGGGAGTCCAAAGCATTTCAAGTAGGTTTTCACATTCCAAGGTGAGCTGAATTGTTTCCACTGACAGGATTTCTCAAGCTTTTTCACGGAAGTCCCCTAGAGTAGAAGATATTGATGCCCCTGGGGTAGGTGGGTGGGTGAAAATGGGGTAGGGGTAGAGTGGGAACTATTGAGTACTTCTGGGTGTGCTGAGGACTTATTTTGAGCCAGACTTTGTGTTGTTTCATTTATCCCTCATTACTATTCTGATTTGGAAACTGAGACTCAGAGAGATGATTTGTAGTTAATTGAAGTCCAGCCCATAGCTGTCCATAGCTCATCCAGTAGTCACAAATGGATGTGAGAGTTGGACCATAAAGAAAGCTGAGCACTGAAGAATTGATGCTTTTGAATTTTGGTGCTGGAGAAGACTCTTGAGAGTACCTTGGACTGCAAGGAGATCAAACCAGTCAATCCTAAAGGAGATCAACCCTGAATATTCATTGGAAGGACAGAAGCTAAAGCACTAAGACTTTGGGTACCTGATGCAAAGAGCCAACTCATTGGAAAGACCCTGATGCTGGGAAAGATTGCAGGCAGGAGGAGAAGGGGATGACAGAAGATGAGATGGTTAAACTGCATCACTAACTCAATGGACATGAATTTGAGCAAACTCTGGGAGATAGTGGAGGACAGAGGAGCCTGGTGGGCTACAGACCGTGGTGCTGCAGAGGGTCGGACACGACTGAGCACTATTCTGATAGGAAACGGAGGTTCAGGCAGGGAATGTGCAACTGAAGTTAACTGAAGTCCAGCCCACAGCCGAAGTCCTAGAAACCTAACTTTCAGAGTCGTCCAGTGTGAATGACAATAAATCTCTGACATCCCGCTCCATTCCTAAAATGCCTGGGGCATTGCTCGGTGGTCAGAAGCCAGCACCTGGCCTCAGGTGGCCTGAATCACAGATGCACCACCTACCAGGGCTTCCGGGCAGATTATCTGACTTCTTTGAGTCTCGGTCACTTGTTCTACTAAATGGGAACAAGAAAAAAACTTCCCTTATAGATTTTTTTGTAAGAACTGCCTAACTGTAAGTTAGGTAATCCAGGGCAAATACACCGGGTAACACAGAATGCACACTAGGCAGTTGATGAATGTTTAATATTGTCGAAATTAATCATTTTACTCCATTGTCTATCTGCATTTATTTTGATATTCATTTTTTAAAAATCTTTCAACATGACTCAAACTCCAGAAGGACTACAGCTTCTTGCAGCCCGGGAACTTGCTGGGCTGTGCACGGCCATCTACCTCTCTCTGACCAAGTACAGTGTGAAAGTGAAGTCTGTAATGTCAGATTCTCTGCAACGCCATGGACTGTAGCCCACCAAGATCCTCTGTCCATGGGATTCTCCAGGCAGGAATACTGCAGTGGGTTAGCTATTCCTTTCTCCAGGGGATCTTCTCCACCCAGGGACTGAAACCGGGTCTCCTGCGCTGCAGGCAGATTTTTTACCATCTGAGCCACGAGGGAAGCCCCCGTGTACAGTGTAGCTAGGGTAAAAAGCCAGAGCTACAAGGTCAAGTCCACATTCCTTAAATGTTGCACTGTGCCCTCCAGACTTGTGTCTGCTCTCCTTTTTAAGCTCACTCCTCACTGCAGTCTCCCATGCCCTTTACGCTTCAGCAATCTTGAGCTCCTTATAGCTCTCCAAACAAGCAGCACACTTCCGCATTTTCACACTTGCCTGCCTTTGCCTCGCGGCTCAGCCTGGAAGGTGCTTTGTTATCTAATCTGATGCTGGCAAAGCTCCTGCTCTTCCTCAGACCCCGTCTGCATATGGCCTCTTCTCCTGATGCTGCTCAACCACCCCCCTCCTCCCCCCAAGCACTGACCATCCGTTTCTTTGTCCACCAGGACTTCTGTGCCCACTGTCTGCATCACACTGTCCTGCAAAGTTGGCAGACTTGTTTCTCCCTTAGCAGAGTCTGAAGGCAGGGGCTGATTCTGTCTTGCCACTGCCTCACATGGTTCCTGGCACACAGTAGGTACACAGGGAGTGTTGACTGAACAACTTGGATTGCATCTTTCATAGCAATCCTTTATCTGGGTCAAAGCAGATTACTGTGACACCAGAAACTGACCTTGATCATATCTCTCAGCTCTCTTTGGAGGGCCATTTTTGTTCTTCTCAGCACCTCTGAGCAAAAATATTTAGAAACAGAATATAAAGTAGAAGAACTATGTGCAACTGGCACCAACCATCCTTGAAGCAGTGATAAAAAGCAATGGTGTACATTCTTCCCTACCTTCAAATTTCCAGCCCTACAGGTTAATCTGACCCTTCTCCTGGGAGGAGACCTGTTTCCACCTCTTCTTCTGCTCCTGTCAGCCTCCTACTTAATAGCTGTCCAGTAGCTGCAGGTTACAATGCAAGGTCCTTAGCCAGTCCTTGCTTATTTTTCTAGCCTCCCCTCTACCCCCTTCAGCAATGCTAAATATCTTCTGGTTCTTCACACATACAGCATCTTTATTTTTGTTCTCTCCTCTGCATACATTGACCTTTCCTGTTTTCTTTACCTCCTAATTGGTGTACAATTTTTATATAATAAAATTTGCCATTTTGATAAATGTGTACAATCACGCTCACATACAGAACAACCAGATCACTCCACAAATCACCTCACCCTACGCTTCTGTGCATGGAACGACCCTATGCTTCTGTGCATGGGACAACAGAGGGTGAGATGGTTGGATGGCATCACCGACTCAACAGACATGAGTTTGAGCAAACTCCAGGAGTTGGTGATGAACAAGGAAGCCTGGCGTGCTGCAGTCCATGGGGCTGCAAAGAGTCAGACATGACTGAGCAACCAATCCATCCACTCCCTCCATCCCTTATCCTACCTGGCGATGACTTACCCCCTTTTTTTCCCTGTAATTTTTGCCTTCTGTAGAATGTCTGACAAATGGAATCACCAAGTGTCTAACCTTCTGTGGCCTGGATTCTTCACTTGTCATATTGTGTTGGAGATTCACAGATGTTGTAACATGTAATGGCGGTTTATTCCTTTTTACTGATGAGTAGTATTCTGCTGTATTTGTCTTCTCCTTTTTAAGACCCAGCCTAAGAATCAGTTTCTCCCAGAAGTCTTCTCTGACCCAAGGCTTATACATTGTGTCTATGTTCTCATGGGATTCTAGACTTGCTTTCATCACAGCATACAGCACACTGTACACTGATGACCTCTTTAGGTATCCCTGACAAGACTCAGCTCTAAGAAGGGAGAAAATGTGTTTCAGTCATTCCCATATTCCCAACACAACACCTAATAGATGCTCAGATGCAGGATGAATGGATCTCTGTGACAATCTCTGTGACTTCGCTCTGAGTGAAGTGACCTTAAAATAGCACATTTTGATGCCCTAACAATCATATGGGTTTCCCTGGTGGCTCAGACAGTAGAGAATCTGCTTGCAATGTGGGAGACCCGGGTTTGATCCATGGGTTGGGAAGATCCCCCGGAGAAGGGAATGGCAACCCACTCCAATATCCTTGCCTGGAGAATTCCATAGACAGAGGAGCCTGGTGGACTACAGTCCATGGGGTCACAAAACAATGATAAGGTTTCATTCCACTCTCACAATAGCCTGTGAAACTGGCACTACTATACATCCTTTACAAAGCAGGGAGTCAAGTCATGCCAATTTGAATTGAAAACCTGGGCTAAAATACAGTGTGACAATGACATTCCTCTGTGATTTGAGTGGCTTGAGGACTTGAAATCTTTGTTTTGGTGGCAAATGTTCATATTCTTTAACCTGTTCTCTATTTTAGCTCTGGTCAAACCAGCAGCAAAAGAAAGGTAGTGTCCTGTTGGCTAAAACCCAAGCTCTTAGGTCAAACAAAATGGTGGTGGGACGGGTCAGTAGCTCACTGGTCCTTGAGAAGAGGCCAATTCATTCCAGATGGCTGGGGTTGGCTGGGAAACTGTAGGCAGTCAGCTCTGCATGAAGCAGCACTGAAGCTGCATCTGGATGGAGCCCGGCCACAGGCGGAGAAGAATGGAAAACAGATTTAAAAGCACTTTGGTTTAATTGTCACTCAACCAGCTGTCTCTCAGCTGGGAAAATTCATCTGACAAACCATAAATAACTAACATCAGTCCCCAGAATGCACAATGGTCAGGGGTCCAGGTCTGGGGTCAGGATGCAGAATGGTAATGACATTGGTGATGAAGACTGAGTCCCTTTCTCCCCTAATTCTGCATGCAGCCCGTCACTCCTGCAAAGACGAGGAGGGAATTAAATTCAACTCACATGGGCCAGTCGATCAAATCTGGCAAAGAGCTCGTTGAGCATCCTGACCAGCTCCTGAGCAGACAAGGTCGTGGAGAGGTTGGTAAATCCTTTAACATCTGCAAAAAGAATACTAGACAACGGGAAAGGGGTGGGGAGGGGGAGGAGAGCACATTAATATTTGAATCCATCTTGGGAGAAACGTTCCCATTCAAACAAACCAACTGTGGCCTGAGATGTTAGCTCTCCTTGCCAGGGGAGTCTCGAGGCATACCTCAGTGTTTACCAAATATTTCAGCGGAGAGCCCACCCAGGGGTTGAGGAAGGACAAGAGAGCTCTAACAGAAAGCCCTTCTCCCTGTGCAGGACTGTGGAGCGCTGGTAACGCAACCAACCCAAAACGGGAAGTTTTCAGTAGTGGAGTGACAGTCACTCACTCGTGTCCGACTCTTTGCAACCCCCTGGAATTCTCCAGGCCAGAATACTGGAGTGGGTAGCCTTTCCCTTCTCCAGGGGATCTTCCCAACCCAGGGATCGAACCCCGGCCTCCTGCATTGTAGGTGGATTCTTTATCCACTGAGCTATGAGGGAAGCCCTGGAATAGATCAATTTATGTGGAAAACAAAATGAAGCCTTATGAATTATCCTTGCAAATGCAGATGTCATGAACACAGAGTGTAATGGACATAGGGACAAAAGGATGCAAAACCACATTATCTCCAGTCCAGTGACATATACTCTATCCCAAATTGCAGGCATATAGAGTTAAGATGTTTTTTAAAAATTGCAGAAGTAAGTAGCAAGCCTGGGAGACCTTAGGCAGAATAATAATGACTTCTCTGAAATGTATATTTACTAAGAATTTCAGTCAGCTGAGGTCTTATCCTATGCATATGGCTTGGTGGAAGGGAAGGGATGGTCCCTGAAAGCCTTAACAAAGCAAGGCACTATATGAGCACTGTCTTAGTCAAGCCACCCAGTTAGCCCGGGGGGAAGGCACTGTTCACCCCAATGTGAAGATCAGGAAAGTGAGGCAGGGAATCTTGCCCAACATTCACTGGTAGCCTGTGGCAGAGTTGGGATTGCCCTTGGGGCTGAACTGCACAGTGAGCGACCACTCCTCCCACCTAACACACCATCTCAGGGATCACTTCAACCTCAGGGGCACCGCTGAAAGGAAGCATGCCACCAGAAAGGGGGCCGTATTTTCTTGATTCTTGTGTTTTATCATCTCTGAAAGTGACTGTACCTTTGCGGTGTATCTCACTTTTTGGTTAGTCTTCTTAGTGTTGCATAAAATAATGGTGCGTTTCACCACCAGTGTGACCTAGTTTTAATGAAATAGCTGAATCAGCCAGAAGGCACTGCGGGATGTGCGTTGACTTACGTTGGTCACCCCTGTATTCAGTGGTTCTTCAAGTTGTCTCCATTACCAACCTCTTTGAGAACCTGATAGAGGTTATGAATTCTAGCTCCTAAAAAATGTACAAGTGTTCAAAATTTTGCACTTGATTTCAAGGGATTTGTACCTTCCCAGAAGCCAACTCAGGGACTCATTAGGAATCCTTAGATCTCAATGTTTAAAAATATTTATTTTGTTTTATTTATTTATTCAGTTGCACTGGATCTTAGTTGTGGCAGATGGCATCTTCGATCTTTGTTGCAGTATGCAGGGTTTTCAGTTGTGGCATGTAGGGTCTTGCTCCCTGACCAGGGATCAAACCCAGGCCCCCTTCATTGGGAGCTCAGACTCTTAACCACTGGATCACCAAGGAAGTTCCCTTTAGATGTCAATTTAAAAGCTACTGCTTTAATTAATTAGATAATGCCTTAATTATTTAAGCAAATATTTATGTAACCAGCTACACACTGTGCTAGAAAATTGTACTAAATGATAAAGAATGCCCAGGACCTGTCCTCAAGAGCCTCAGAGGATGGGGAATGGAGTTGGGCAGACAAAGAGAAAAACAAAAACAACACAGGCAATGACTGCTGAAATGGAAAGACTCATGGAGGGGTTTGACCAGCCACTGGAGGATCAGGAGTTTCCTAGCAAGGCCAAGTCCAGGGGGAGTCTTGAATGACCTAGGGCAGGAGTCCCCAACCTCTGGGATCTGAGGCCTGGGGAAGTGAGGTGGAGCTGATGTAATAATAACAGAAATAAGGTGCACAGTAAATGGGATGCACTTGAATCATTCAAACCCGTCCATGCCCTAGTCTGTGGAAAACCCGTCTTCCACGAAACTGGTGGTTGGGGACTGCTGCTCTAGAGAACTTGATGGTAAAGTGAATAAAAGAATGGGTGCTCTTAGCAAGAGATCAGCACATACTAGGATCTGGTTGGAGAATGAGCAAACATACCAGGGTTCTGCAAGAAATCAAAGACAGTTTGTCAAAGGGTAGTATTGAGGAAGGAAGGTGGGAAGAGAAGAGGGAAAGGGGGAGAAAGAGAGAGAGAAGGAGGGAGGGAGAGAGAGGGAGAGAGAGGGAGAGAGAGAGAGATGAGCTCAGAGAAGAGAACAGAGGAACAATAAAGAAGGGCTTGATAAGCCAGGTTTATGAATACAAACTTTTTCCTGACTGTGATGGAAAGCAAGTGAAGGGTTTTAAGCATGGGAATGATACTTATAGGTTGTTCCTCTATGAGGCTTCCTCTGGAAGGGTCACCACACTGCTACTGTCCTCTACAATTTTCTGGTGGTATAGCATCTGGTTACATGCACGGAATTTGTGCCTAGACAGATTGGGGCTCAAACCCCAGGTCAACCACTTATGAATACTATGAACTTCTCCAAGCCTTTGTCTACTGGAGATCTTTTCAGTACCTACATCATTGGTAGGTAGTGAGTGTTTGGCACAGTGCCTGGCATAGTAAGTGCCCCATAAATGTGTTAGCTCTTGGCATCATTATTGTATAAAAGTGCACTATAATTGAATGGTTGAATGGAGGAGAGACAAGGAAAGAGGTAGAAGAAAATCTATTAACTGGATTACTTATCACCTGAAGTTAAAAGAATTCCTAACTGTGGACACAAACCTGAAACAATAGTAGCAGCAATACTCAGAGAGTGTGGACTGTTGACTTGATACTGTTCTAGGAGTTCTACATGTATGAACTCATTCATTCCTCATAACAACCTATGAGCGAGGATCTAGGATGATCACCTCCACTTTACAGATAAGGAAGCTGAAGCCTGAGTAACTTGGCAACACACATGAAAAGCTGGGGTTTGAACCAGACAGCCTGGCTCTGGAATCTTTATTCTTTGCGTGCCATGCCACGCAACATGTGGGTCCCCAATCAGGGATCAAACCCACACCCCCTGCATTAGAAGCACAGACTCTTAACCACTGCACAGCCAGGGAGTCTATGCTCTTCACCACTATAGTATGCTACCTTTGAAATAAGCCATCATCCTCACACATGTGGGAAGTGGAAGGGTCCAGAGATCGTCCAGTTGAACTGCTCACTTTATGGATCTATTTGCCCAAAACTTTGGGCTTCCCTGGTGGCTCAGAGGTTAAAGCATCTGCCTGCAATGCGGGAAAACTGGGTTCTATCCCTGGGTCGGGAAGATCCCCTGGACAAGGAAATGGTAACCCACTCCAGTATTCTTGCCTGGAGAATCCCATGGGCAGAGGAGCCTGGTGGGCTACAGTCCATGGGGTTGCAAAGAGTCGGACATGACTGAGCGACTTCACTTCATGGCAGGAATGGTTCATTCATTCATTTAACAGCTAATAAACTAAATGCCTACTATGTGTCAGATCCTGGAGATACAATGGAGAGCAGAAAGTACAATCACAGCCCTTATGGAATAAGGAACCTACTGAAAAAAGAAATAGAATCGTTAAGAACAAAGGGCATAAAGGTTTCAGATATGCTGTTTCAACAGCATCATTTCTGAGTGTGGTCTTCTGAACACATGTTGCCTTATGCACCTGTGTCTGTACAGGGTGTGCCTGCTCCCTGGCATAGCTTTCTTTCTTATTACTACCTACTAAAATCATACTTGTCAAATAAAATAAAATAAAATAAAATCCTACTTGTCTACATCCCAGTGTTCACTGTAGCACTGTTTAGAACAGCTGAGACATGGGAACAACCTAAATGTCCATCCACAGAAGAGAGGATAAAGAGGATGTGGCACAAACAACAATGGAGTACTAGCCATAAGAAGGGATGGGACTGTGCCATTTGCAGACACGGATGGACCTAGAGACTGTCATACAGAGTGAAGTAAGGCAGAAAGAGAAAAACAAACATCCTGTATTACTACACGTATATGGGATCTAGAAAGGGGTATTGATGAACCTATCTGCAAAGCAGAAATAGAGACACAGTCATAGAGAACAAACGTATGGACACCAAGGGGGAAATGGGAGTGGGATGAAATGGGAGATTGGAATTGACACATACAAACTACTGATGAAAGTGAAAGTGAAAGCCGCTCAGTTGTGTCCGACTCTTTGCTACCTGGTGGACTATACCGTCCATGGAATTCTCCGGCCAGAATACTGGAGTGGTTAACCTTTCTCTTCTCCATGAGATCTTCCCAACCCAGGGATTGAATCCAGGTCTCCCGCATTGCGGGCAGATTCTTTACCAGCTGAGCCACCAAGGAAGCCCAAGAATACTGGAGTGGGCAGCCTATCCCTTCTCCAGCGGATCTTCCTGACCCAGGAATCAAACCAGGGTCTCCTGCATTGCAGGTGGATTCTTAACCAACTGAGCTGTGAGGGAAGCTCATATGATACTATGTCTAAAATAGATAACTCATGAGAACCTATGAATAGTACAGGGAACTTCATTCAGTGCTCTGTGGTGACCTAGAAGGAAATCCAAAAAAGAGGGGCTGTATGTCTATGTACAGCTGATTCGCTCTGCTGTGTACCAGAAACTAACATGAGATTGTAAAGCAACTAAACTCCAATAAAAATTAATAAAACAAAGTCCTGGACTTCCCTGGTGGCTCAGTGGTAAAGAATCCACCTGCCAGTGAAGGACCCAGGGGTCTGACCCCTGATCCAGGAGGATTCCACCTGCCGCAGGGCAACTAAGCCCAGGTACTGCAACTACTGAGCCGGTGCGCTAGAGCCCGGGAGCAACAGCCACTGAGCTCGTGCGCCGCA